AAATTTCTGTTTTTCAAACTTAATTTTTTGAAAAGGAATTTTTTGTTTTCGTTGGGTAGCAAATTCCAAAAAAAAAATTTCCGGAATCCATCCATTTGATGAACCTTTTTTCCACGTGATAAACGTTTATCGCGCAATAATAAAATCTTTTCAGGGTTTGGTTATTGTGATAAAAATCATTATTGATTAATTATGTCCTTTATTTATTTATATAAAAAAATTAGAAAATTTGTAAAGGAACCTCATAAAGATGTTCATTTTTCAAATCCTAATTCAAATGAAATGGAAATTAATTAAAAATTTTTGTAAGATTATCATTTCTTTTTTGTCAGTATGCAATTTTTCATGTTTTGGTAAACGTTTAATTATTGGCATCGACATTTTGATAAATTATATTATGAACCACACATTTTAGTTGAACAGAATTATTGTCACCGACGTCTTGATAAATTTCTCAGGGTTTTAATGAATAGGATAATTATGAAACATGCTTTGATGAGCGTAATTATTATCACTGGCATTATGATAAATGACTTCAGGGTTCTGATAAATTATATTATGAACCATGTTTTGGTGAACGGAATTATTATTACCGATATTTTGATAAATTTCTCCAAGGTTTTGATGAATCATGTTTTGCTGAGCATAATTATTGTCGCCGACATTTTGATAATTGTATTATTAAGTGCTGAGTATTTATTGGTGATACTCCCATTCGAATTAAAACTGCTATCCCAGTCATTAGAATTATTTAATTTTTATTACATATTTATTCATTATAATTATAATGCTTTTGCCTGTTTGAGCGATTATCTTTTATACGGTATGTTTAGTATTAAAGAAAATAAAATAGAAAATTTTATTTAATTTTATGATTATCATAAAATTTACCACCTCTCCCCTCAAAAAACAATAACATTTAAAAAATAAAATATGGTATTTCCGTATGGTTTATACAAACATATTAATATTAATATAAAATAAAATACGGAACTTCAGTATTTTATGTACGTTCTAAAAAATTTCCATTTTTAAAACTGTAATAAGTAATAGCAATGAAAATACGGAATAAATACGAATTAATACGGAATTTTTAAGATACTGGAAATGTACTTTTTGTTCCGTATTTAAAGTACAGAATGTATTACATACCGAAAAGGTACGTTTGTTCCGTATTTAAAGTACATAATAGTATCATAATGAAAGATGTCATATACATTTATTCATATAGTAAATATTTTATTATAAATCTATATCATCATCATCAATAATAGTTAATTGCTGTTTCTCCACCCTATGAAAATAAAATATGGAATCGTGTGTTAAATACGCTCTTAAAAATATATATACTAATACGGAATTAACGTATTTCCTATACGGTTTTGAAAAATCACCTCTTTATCTTTTCAAATTTAGTGTGAATTGGTACGGAATTTGTAACATACTGAGAAGGTACGTTTTTGATTCCATATATAAGTATAAGGTACTGCTACGGAATAGGCACAAAATTTGTAACATATTAATACTCATTGTATAAGGTATAATATCATATAAAGAATACATTTACTTTATTCATTATAAAACATATAGTATTTCGTCAACAATGTAATTAATTTCATTTTTATTTTTGTTATCTCAAAATTTGTCAACTATTGCAATAGTACTCTAACATTTATTATTATTATACGTGCTATTTATAATTATCTAAAATTCCGTATTTTCCATACTAATTATAATACTAATACTAATACTAATACTAATACTAATACTAATACTAATACTATACTGTTTATTCCGCATTTTATCTTTTATGTATAGTAATATGAAGTCAAGTGATTGTCAGTATAAACAAACAAACACACCCTGACTTGTACCTGGATAGGTAAATCAATTCATGTTATAAATAATGTCCGAATTTTCTCTCGATTGAGATAAAAATATGAAAAAGAAAATAAAAAAATTAATATTTAAAAATACAAAAATTCCATTTTCGCTCATTTTAACCAATAAATCATGGTATAAGATATCCAAAGACCCATTAAGAACCATGGAAAAGCACATTCGTTTTTTTATGCAATTTGCAATAATCAACTAATTGATCTCCTGATAAGAGATCATGTGGTTTTGTCTAGATATCTTGTGCAACGATTATTATTACAATTCGGGAAAAGTGATGATAGTTTAATTAAACTAAAAATACAAAATGACGTTAACTTCAACAATAACAACAACAACAACAATAATAATAATGACATGGATCAAGGAACATCTAAAGCTTCTCAAAAATATTATAGAAATCCTTGGGCCTCAAATATTCCAGTAGCAGTCTTTGTAGCTTTGTTAAAAGAAGCCAAATTACAATATGGTGAAAGTCTTCCCTTGAAAGGTAATGATATTGAAATGTTTCATTTTTTAACAGGGGGCCCTCTGGCTATAGACTTGGCTCCAAAAAGGTTGATGGAAAACCTGGAAAAAATAAAGGATCTTATATTAAATAAAAAATTCATACCTTTCCCACCAAGACCAGCAATCCCATTTGAAGACTCAATTGATTACCAAATAGAAATGCAAACACTTAATCATAAAGAGTATCCAGCCAAGGATGGATTTGAAAACAACAAGCAACTGAACATAATTGCAAGGGCAATATTAATTTATCCTAACCTAGTAAAATTCTGGAAACAAATTGGCTATAATGATATATGTAAAGATGTCAATAATTTGGCATTACAGGTTCTTTGTTAATTTTATTCTACCCCAAATTATAAAAATGAAGAAGCTTGTGATTATCCAACTACAATGGACTTTGTAAAACATATACAACAATTAGTAAAAGTTGGGTTCAAATTGACAAAATCTGTCATGGCTGATAATCTTAATTTTGTATGAACAACATATTGATAAAATTGGAATAACACATTGTTAGAAATCAATCAAAATCTGATATTGTTAGATGTTGTATAGTAGAAGCCATTAAAGTCAACAGAAATTTGAAAAAACCTCAAGTTTTAGATTTTCTAAGAATGCAAATTGAAGATAATTGTTTAGAACTTGTATTATCACTATTTTGATAATAAGACCAGGATAAAATTAATTGATTTTCAAATTTTTGATAAAAATAGATCTTCTGCCTACAACACTGACAGTTTAATTAGCAGCAATAATATAAGTAATATCAATATTATAGATAACATAAATGAAGAATCTATTAATTATTATTATAAATATGATTATTATTATGACTATGGTTATAACTATTATCCACATTACATCAAGGATTTAAGGAATGGTTACTATTGGACAGAATATTATGTTAACAGATTGATATGTGATGATACTTGTAAATTTATAAATTCAAATATTGAAAAGCCAATTAATAATATAAGATCATTGAGATTAAGCAGTCATTTGTATAAATAGGTGTTAAGAAAATTCAACCCAGATTCATTAATCACAAGATTATGCTTCAATGATATAATTATATCAAAGTTGTGGATTGATAGAGAGTTGTTACTACATCTTGAAAGATCAATATCAGAAAGAATGACTAGTTGTGCATTTGATTTGATTATACATACTTACAATGAATTTTGTCAGAATAATATTTCATTTGAATTGATCCATTTAAATTTATTAAAGGAATCAAACAATATAACAACTTTAAAACCATTTTTCGAAGGTTTTTTACCCCAAATTTTTAATCTAAAACCAACTTTTAAATATAATAGCAGTATTAGCACCAGGGGATGTGGATTGAAAAAACAACGATTATTGCAAAACCGGCCTTTTTTTCAACTGCTTGATGTTTATGAGAAGAAAATTGAAAAAGTTTATCAAGAAGTAACAATGCAATTCAATCCAAACATATATAATAATCAGTTCGCTTTGAATTTTGTATTTTGTATGAGAAGTTTTTGGAATAGACTTATAGCAGAATCAAAAAAAAGAAAAATGGGGACATTGGCACAACTTGGAACAGAAAATGGATTGGGGACCAATAGAAGAAAATGGATCAAAGAACATTAAAAGAAAATGGGACAAAGATAAGGAACTTTGACAGGAAATTATTAGTATTTTTACTTCTACTATTATTACTATCTTTAATGCTTAATGGTTGATGTGATTATACCACATATGAATATTCATATTTTTATATAATTTAGATATTTCTTGATCTTGTTGTTATTGTTGACGTTGATGTCATTTTGTATTTTAGTTCAATTAGACTATCATCTGTTTTTCCGAATTGTAATAATCTTTGCACAAGATATCTAGATAAAATCACATGTTCTTTTATAAAAGTTACAGCTTGCGAAAAAAATTTTCCCGCTAGGGCGCAGTCAATAAAAACTTTTTTTATTTTTTTTTATTTTTAAGACGACATAAGCAAATAAATTAATATTACTTATTTAAGTATAACAACAAACTTTTAATACTAATTTCGGTGGTTTGTGGAGGAAAATACATCCCATATTAAATTTAACAAATTCTTTTGTCGTTCAACGTCTCGCTCGGCTTTTTATTCTATTGGTTCAAAAATTTGTATCAGGTCCGGATCAGGTTTTACAAATACATCTTAATTTCCGGTTTTATCAAAACAATCAGGTTCCCCTCCTTCTCGTTGTGATATGATGATAATTATTCCAATCCTTGACGTTGATGAATTGTTTAAGGCAGAATATGTAGACCTTTTCAATGGAATACCGAAATCATGGTTTAAGTTATTACCACTTTATATGTAACTCTTTAGGTAGGACGTTTTTGACTTAGAAATTATACCCACTTTGCATAACCTTGAAGTTTCAAAAACGATAGCAAAATCCCTTTAAATCTTTGTTTGTCACTATATATTGAAATGGCCCATGTGATGTGCCAATTAATTTTTCATAAATAGACGATATATTATCATTATTATTATCATTATTATTATCATTATTCGTGCGTATGGATTTAAAGTCCACACAGATTTCAAACTCACTTTTCACTGTGACCAAGTTATTTTAGCTTAATTTATTAATTTTAACTTCAACCACTTCATCAGCTATGGCTTTATCATTGATTTCGGTAGAAATATTGGTAGTTCCTGTGGTGATGATGGAGAATTTTTTCTTTGACAATGCAATCACTTGTTTAGAATGGATGTTGAAAACATCTTTAACGATTTTTATTGAGATATAAAACTAGAAAATTGGGTACGATCAGCAATTTCAGAGATTGTGATGCTATCAACTAATGGTAACTTTGTTTTCCTCTCATTTCGTCGACACCCATTTCGTCGAAAGTTTGTTTCATCGAAAGTTCATTTCGTCGAATTTTCATTTCATCGAAAATTATTTCGTCACAAAAAAAAAAATTTCATTAAACAAATTTCTCCTCACACTTTCCACGCACTCCGCTTTCCTCACCTAATTTCTTAACTAACTTCTCACACTCCTCACATCTAACTCGTTCGGTCTCTGGCTCGAGGATGAAATAATTTTCGACGAAGTAAACGCAACCGTATGTTGATGGCAGGAAATCAAAGAAATATTATGCTAAACTGATAGAATATATTAGAAAACGTTTTGTCGGTGAAACGTCCTGTCGGTATAACGGTGTTGGGGAATCGGGGTAGACCCGTGGTTAGTTTGTTATATTATTATAAAAATTTTATAAATCAAATGCCCATCGCTAGTCATATCAATTCAATAATTCAATAATAATAATATACGCTTATTTCCTGGTCATTATTTATATATAAATAAAATAAATATGTCAATATAAATCTATCTAAACATAATAATGATGATGATTTTCAATTTAAAGATGAAAATTTCATTTCTATCTTAGAATTAAGACGATTACATTCAACTAGTCCAGCTTCCTCGGCCACACTCTTAAGCGGAACATGAACGTGCATTTAGAGAGGGTGTGCATTTAGAGGGGGTAATTTAATAAGCTCACTATAAGTTTGGGAATGAGACATGGCGTACATTTAGAGAAGGTTTACATGGTAAGTGCATTTAGAGAGGGGGTTGAGTGTACTCACCATGATGCCTAATCCTTTCTTTAAACATCGAATCCGCATATTTGTGTTTGATAAAGTATTTTGCACTTGGCTAAGCTCCTCAATTTCAGAATTTGATGATATTATTACTTGAATTTTTATCATTATTATTTTTCATGGTTATATAATATAAGAATTCTTGATGTTGAAGAGTCAAATAATATAGTATTATGTATGTTTACGTTGATCTTTGTGAAGCTAGGACCAGTCATTTCCCATAACAGAGGATATAAAAAGAGGGTTTTCAAGGAAACCCTGCTCCGCATGGAATTATTATTAATCAAACTTTGGCCAAATAATAAATTCATCTCTGTTAAGCCCAACCTTAATTCTCATGTTTGTGTATTTTGAATTTTTTTTATGTTAGTAAAATTACACCAATAAACAGCAAATGGACCATAATAGATCTTTCAATCAGTTTTGTGTAGGTATGATTAATTTATGAAAGCAGCGAGATTTGAGAGAGATTTTATTTTAATAATAAAAATAATAATAATAATTAGCAAATTTTATCAATGTTCAATTATTTTATTATAAGACTTATCATATACTATACTTTTTTAAAAAGGTAGAGAGTAATACATTCTTGAACACTATTTTTAAATGTTTCAATACATTTATACAAGTGTAAAGAGGGTGGAATTCTATTTTTTAACATGAAACATATGAAATGATCTTTTTTTAAATAATTGTGCATATACTGTATAATAATTTATTATAGTCATATATTATACATTATATATTATATATTATATACACATATAAATATGAATATGTGGTATAATCAATTAACGGTTGATTTAGCTTGTTGTAAAAAACCAAACTTTTAGCTGGTTATCCAGGTCTTCACACAGTCCTTGGCAAATTGTTAACACAATACCTGTCGGTAAAGTGTCCTGTCGGATTTTAATGCTTTGCGTGTGGATTTCTTATCATCGTTGTTATTGATCTTTTCAACCCTCGGGTAAGTCCACTCGATTTCGCTTTATCAATTATTCAAATAATTATATAGGCGGGCTTGGTAG